TGAAACAGAAGATCCCGTTTCTCTTGCTGGAGCCTTCTTAGCAGACTGACCGCCTCTAAAAGTTTTGTATGACCTTGATTGTGGTTTTCTCACCCCTGAGAAAACTCTCCACTTAAGTTTTAAATAGCGACAGAAATGAAGTAAAAATTAAAATGATTCCATTGAGCAATCATGAATTTTAAATTACAAAATTCCTTTGTTCTGGAATTCAGAATTTCCCATATGGCTCGAAATGGGATTCTGGTGTAAGAGAAATCCAGGAGTTGCAATCTCTAGTGAATATAGGAGCCCAGAAATCTACTGATGAAAAAGAAACTTGGTCATTTCTGGGGAAAGGAATCAAGAAAAAGGAGCAACCAACTGAGGTAGTTTTCTTGAGTAATTCTATGAATTGAAAAGATAGAAAATATTGCAAGAAAAGCGAGAATTGACTTTAAGGTCTTGCGATGCTTGGGGAGAAAATATATGTTTCTCTTTTGTAGCATTTATACAATCTGTTTCCAGAAATGTGTTTGTTTGATTCTTTCCAAGCGTTATCATTTATGAATAATCTCTTCTTTGTAATCTCCAATATAGTTTGTATTATATGTTATTACAATATGTTTTGATTTCATTATTACTCATCCTTGGTACTCAGGGCAATTTCTGTTTTTAAAGTTATGCTTGAGATTATTTACCTGCCTAAGTTCTACAAAGTTCTCTTGTGAGTTTTACTATCTTATTCCAACGTGCAAGTCGATTAATTAAATCTAGATTTTAGTGTATCTCAAGCCTAAAGGCAAAATCGTGACAGTTTATTGTGCCATTAATGTTTTTGCATGTTTATCTTTTATTTCATATTTCTACTGATAACAGCCTAAGAGGTGCTTTTAACAATTGCTTCTGGCCTTGATTATTGCAGTAGCTTCTGAGTTTGTCTTCCCGTTCAACCTTCTTTTAAAAGTCGTGATTTATTTTGCTCCAAGTAGTTTAATAGTTCCCAAATACTTCTAAAGAATGGCCAAATTCCTTAATCACTCGCGGCCATTTAGTTTATTGCTCAAAAATCAAGAGATCTTCTTACATTGGTTTTCCTGCCTTCATTCTCTGCAGACTGTGTGTTTTAAAAAGGGGACCTTTCTATGTGTCATATTGATGCTTTTCTGTGTCTTCCATTTTCCTTATGTTTTCTCCTTCCAAGAAATGTCTATTATTCTCGATATTCTCCCAGGGGGACACTTACTTATTTAAAAACCACTGAAACACATCATGCCCCTTCAAGTATTTCTTCAAAAATTCAAATAGGAAATGATTGTCTTTCAACTTCAACCTCACTCTGATTTACCTCTTTTGTACCTGTTACATTATCTTGCCTTGCATTGTTGTGACTCTTATTCTTTATTTGACCTCAAATTTTAAAGCCAGAAGCTGGGTCTCAATAATAATTCCGGACATGGAGATATGCTGTTAGAAATCTATAAGGGTCCTATTTAATGTTTAATGAAGACTGGTTATTACAGTCTTCTCTACTTGCTAAGAAAGCATTTTAGGCTGGACGCAGTGGCTCCTGCCTGTAATTCCGGCATTTTGGGAGGCCGAGGTTGGTGGATCACGAGGTCAGGAGATGGCGACCATCCTGGCTAACACGGTGAAACCCCATCTCTACTAAAA